AAATTCCTGTCGGAGTATCTTCCTCAAAATATTTACATATCTGTTGGAAAAATAGATTTGAAAAATTACATGTCCAGCCCTATATCCAGGAAGTGCTCATCTTGCACAGCCTGGACAAGACCCGACTCTGTACTGTACTAACAAAGCATACTAGATCTTGATGGTTACAAAAACATCTGGTGATCTTTTTTCTTTATTCAATACATTTTACTTTGCCTTTGTTGCAGCTTTCTGGGCCTTCAAAACCTTTACCACAATCTTCTGCTCCTCGATCAGGAACGCTCGCACCACCCTGAAAAAAATAATAATAATGTTGGTTGAACGTGCAAGTTTTTAGAAATACAGTGCATATCACAGAAGTAGTTAAGGCTTAAATAGTACCTTTGAGAGCTAACCAGATATGATTATATTGATGTAGATAAAATTGGGCAGACATTGTTAAGTGCACAAAGTTTGCAGACTAATTTATTTAGATAATGAAACCTTTTGTACTGTCAAAATGCAAAGATTAATAGATTCCAACCCCCCCCCCCTCAAATAATTAGAATTAAAACAACAACATTTAGTCACTGATGTAAAGATTGTTAGGAACAAAATTTAACCAATTCTTTCAAGACCAATGTACAGGTATCCCTCAATATATACGAATAACAGAACAAAAAAGGGTTCGGCCCCCAAAGACAAAAATTCCCTAAAACCTTGAAATGGGTTCACGAGCAAGAAAAAAAACCCACTCGACTAATGATAAATAGTACACAACTCCTTTAATTCACTACCTAACACAATGATGAAAATGAGCTAAAACCGTCATGGAAAAGCTAAATCAAAGTTTAACACAGGCGCCATTTGTATAAAAGCTGGCTGTGTTATACATGGCCGCCCTCAAGGCACTACAACCCAGTCTGGCCAGGGATGCTCCCCCTCCTGATTCGTAGAATGGCTATCATATCCCGCTCACACACAAAGAAATGTTTATTCCTTATAATTTAGACACTATGATAGTTATTTTGTACCTTTATTTTATACATTATGTAAATAGAATTGTGTGTGCATGTTGCTGACTGAAAATAAGAGAAACCAAGTTCAGCTTTGCAAAAAATACAAATTGAATTTTAACCTTAACTTCCCCAAGCCCAACCAGCTCATTTAATACAAAGAAATATTCAGTCTCGAAAAAATTTTTGGGCACATTCTGATGTAGGATTGTGTGAATGTAAATTAATATTAAAGAAAATTAGAAGATTGTTTATATACATGAAATTACGTGTTGAAAAATAATCATAACTTCTACCTCAGTCTTGTAGGGAGAGGGCCAAGGGGATGTGACCTTCCCCTGCCGACTTCCAGGGATGCGTTTAGTTTAATTTTTTGCCGGGCCCCAAATTCGTATAAGCGGGGGGGAGCTTTAGTAGCCCGAAAAAGAGTGACAATTTACGAAATTTGTAAGCGAGAGATACCTGTACTCTCCTGACATTCTTTAGGTGCGATTTATCTTTAACTCTATGGCTGCAATTCACACATGTGCACAAATACGCTCAAGTGAAATTTTAAAGCATATCTGCATAATTCTTATCAAGGGGTTTAAAAATCTTGGTTAATATAAAACTTGCTGCTAACTGAAGCAGATTGATGGATGGAGTCTCATAAGAAACCAATACAAATCCATATAATTTAAACTTACCTCTCACGGACACACTTATGGCAGAGATTACCTCCATAAGCACGAGCCACTCTCTTAACACGCTTTGACAAGCGATGGAGCTCGTGAGGTCGGGCAACAACAATACCAGGTAGCCTCGTCTTGCAATCTCCACATGCTGGAGCCTTACCGGGTTTCTTCTTATAGTGATATACCAGGCGACCACCAGGAGTCTTCACACTACAAAGGAATATTCATTATGAAAGTCTTACAAAACCTTTATGACCACCTTGTAACAGAGGCTAAATAATTTTGTTACTAGAAAATTGGGTCTAGTGAACGATTCTTTTACCAAGTTTAATAAGAAAAAATCCTGTACATCTCAATGGGAAAGAGTAACAATTCATTTTATGCAACAATGAGAAACTGAAGACAAGTACTGTACTAAAATAGAATTGTCTTATGCATTTTTTCTTGCTATAAATGAATATGACTTTTACTTCCTTGGGAAATGCATACTTATGGAGATATTACTCATTTAACACAAGCAATGACAATCTAAAAAAAAAAGGGGGGGGATGGGGCAGAGCTTTGAAAACCCTACCTAACCGTTCAAACCAATATTACCAATTTTATGTAATGGCTACACAAAAACTTCAACAGTAAGACTGGTTTCACACACAATCAAACATGGTTACACTCTGTGGATGTAACCAAGATACAACACTGACGGATTTAAGTTTGCTGAAAATCTCTTCCTCCATCATCAGTTAAATTAGGTAAGTTTTTTTTATAGTACTGTACAGCATTAGGATATTCCTTGGTTAGGTTAGGTTAGGTTTTCAAACGTTTGGTGGACTTTTAACCCTGAAGTTCCCACGGCAATAGCTAATGGTCATATATTCGATTATAACAGGATAAAATATACAAGAAAAACATGTATTTTATTAATCAAATTGCCATTGTGCCATAATAAGAATCTTTACCTAATTCGGTACACTGTAATATTTTGTAACCCAGAAAAGATTGTACCCAGACCTAGACAGTTGTAGTCCTAAAAACACTAAAATATATATTGTGACAAAATTAAACAGGTTAGGAAGGAAGCATGTAGATGTAAGAATTATTTCACCTTTAAATAATAACTGTTGTATGAGGTAGGGAAATGTTTAAGGTCTCAACGTGTGATCGAGTTTATAAATATGAAACTTTACATATACTACACTTAGGTTATTATATATTACTCAAAAGATACAATACTTAAATAAAAAAATCCATACTTACATTTTCCTCCTGTTACTGGTGGTGTTGTAGGAGAGACGCCTACGATAAGTTAACCTCACCATTTTTATCTGGAAATCACAATTACCTTTTTATTATAACAGATTTAACCACTAAATACTTATTGGCAGTAATGGAGGAATACTTTACCACACATATATCAAACACAGTTAATGTTATAATCACGATGAACTAAGATAAAGTAACACATATTCTTCCCGTACATGGAGGCTTTAATGGTGGCCTGGGAAAGAGACCAGGCTGACCAACCTCACTAAACCTTAACTATTATACGGGGTAACATTTATTATTTTATTTCTACTTGTATCAATTAAATGCTATAACGAGTTGCAGGTAATTAAGACCGTATTTTCTTTATTTATCATGAATAATAATAAAATATCAACCTTTGTCTTTAGTTATGCTTATAATTTCTACATATTAATATTAATAATTTGTTAGTGAGTATTTAATTTATAAATTACACTTGACTGTATTCTTTCTTAATATATATATAGCATTTCAAAACTAACTGAAAATACTGATTTGTTTTAAAATATTGTAATTTAAGTCCATGTAAGAACCTTCTGGAGACGTCAACTTCAGTAACAATTCCTATTATTGATTCCCGTCAATGTTATTAATTTAGTACAATAGGTATTTTAATATTTGCTTAACACTAAAATTCAATGTTCTTGTCTCTATATAATCATTTTCACTATACCCATAAACATCGGGAAATATTGCTTCAGTTTTTTTTTATTATTCAGCTAATTGTAAATATATGGGTTGAAAACTATCATTATTCATTAACTTTTTAACTGAGAAAACTAACAGGTATCCTGGTTCATATATCACATGAACCTTTATAATATTTTATTAATTACTTGTATCTGCCTATAGGCCTATACCTGTGGACAACAATCTGGTGCTGGAGGGAGACTTAACAATTTATATCTTCCATGAGACAGAGGTCATGTATCACCCCCGTCCCTGTGGGTGTAAAGGGCAGAGGACCTGTCTGGTGTGTGAGGAGGATCATGAAGCTGTCAACACCTACAACAGTTGGGTTAATGAGGAACAGAGGGTAAATATATCATCCTGTGACCATTAGAGAACCCGGTCTGACTAATTACCCAAATGTAGCCGGAATGAAGTCAAATAATGGTCCTAGATGAATAAATCAGACTGCTAATCACTTCTCGACTAGTATTTGGTGTCACAAAGTCACAAAAAATTGGTAAACTTAATTTAATCTGAGTTGTGTTAGGTTAGGTTAGGTTAGATTTGAATAGAGTAGATTAGGTTAGGTTAGGTACATGCACTTGATCTATTAACTCAGATTAAAGTAAGTTTTCCAATTTTTTTGTGACTTTCTAACACCAAATACTAGTCGAAATTAACAGTCTAGAACAACTACATTGGAGACCCCTAAATTTCACCTTGTCTGGTAGATAGATGGATATTATGTTGCAAACTCATCATACGAGTTCATATTAGTTCAGAATGTGCATTATACACTGTAGGTATACAGTGGCAGACAGTAATTCTATTCAGCACGATAAAATCAGAGAAAACTATACCACAGAACAAGTACTGTCAGTATTGGAAAAAACTAAAAAACCTAACCTGACCTAACCTAACCCACCTAACCTAACCCCACCCCACCCCAACCCTAGTGCATAAGAAACTTAGCTTAAGTAAGAGATATCGGAGGATAGAGTAATGTGACTTGACTGAGGAAGTGGCTGTTTCTTACCATAGTACCATGCAGATGAAACAAAAACACAGTGAGCCCTAGAAATGACAATGGCTGCTGCTTCATTGTCCAAAATGCGTTGAATAAGGCAGCAGCCAGCCAAAGTACAGTCTTGTTCAAGATTCTTCGAACACTGCTGGAGACAGCTGGCAACTCGAGGCCGTTTGTTTACTTTAGTACGCAGTATAATACAATGCAAAACAACAAAGCTCGACCATTAATTTAGCAACGGGGAACTAAGTAACCAATCACCGATGACCTTTTAAATTCTTTCATAATTTTTACTACGTACTATAGTAAACATAAGAACATAGGAACATAAGAAAATAAGGAGTCTGCAATAGGCCGGTTGGCCTGTGCATGGCAGCTCCTGTCGAGAGTTACTACCACTCTCTATCATCCATGAATCTATCCAGCCTCCTTTTGAAACTTTCCAGAGTTCCCGCACTTTCTACAAAGTTGCTAAGCTTGTTCCACTCGTCCACCACCCTATTTGTGAACCAGTTTCTTCCTATCTCCCTCCTAAACAAATGGCCTTGAGTTGCCAGCTGTCTCCAGAAGTCTTTGAAGAATCTTGAACAAGACTGTACATCTATCTCAAACAGACGCCATCTTCCAACTGGCCACAATTGCTGATTAGCACACGGGTATTACGTCAGATCAACACACGCTGATTGGCCAAATATTATACTTTACTTTTTTTTACTTTTACTCGAAAACTATAAATTTCCGACAAACATTATCGAATAAATTTTCTTTTCTTTTTTTCTCTCTCTGTATTCAGTTGCCTGGTTTTATTTTCTAAATCTTTACTGTTTAGTGTTCTCTTTTTATTATTTTGCCCCACATTTTTCCTCTACTGCCCACATTGAACCACCAATATTGTTGGTAATTGGGGAGGTCTTATCGGTTAAAATGCTCAAAAAGTATAAATTTGCGCTGGAAATGTAATAGAATACGTATATAATTTTTTTTTTTTTTCTTTCTCCCTGTATAAATAGAAATATTCAATTCTGTGTTCGACCTAAAACTTCTCTTTACCTCTATTTTTGTTAATACGTAGTTTCCATGCACAACAGAAATATGGCTAGGTATATTTACAGGTACACGACAACTGGCTCACGGTGAAGTAAATGCCAAATGCTGCCAGTCACAGTCAAAAATAGTTCTCTTGTTGTTTGCTGGTAATGGATGATTAGCTAATCAGAGCGCACTCACGGTAAAATAGCATTAGTAGGAACTTAGCCGGTCACGGCAAAATATCCTCTGCTCCCCCAAAATCAGTAATCCTGAAGCTGATGGCTAACACCAGAAGATGTTCAATTTTATTCAAATTTTCCACAGATGTTCTTTGGATGATAGTAAGTAATAAAAATGACACTGCACAGAACCTAATAGAACCTGACCTAACCAACCAAAGAACCCTACCTAATCTTACCTATTGAACAGAAAGTATTTACTGTACTTTGATATCTGGTACCAATAAAAGCAACTTTCTTGCAGTGGCATGACATAATTTTACTTTTTTTGTAAACGAGAGTACGCTCGGACCGAGTGCAGACGACAACACGCATTGATGCAACAGATTTTTCAGCTGAATATTTATGGTAAATAATTTCTTTGCATACAAAGGAGGGAGAGACATCATTTTAGTGTCTTATGATCAGTTTTACACTATCTTTTACTCCACAGTATCCTTCATCCTTCATTCCTTGCCCATTACAGGTGATTTATGGTCATTGATAGAGAAAAACTACAAAAAAAAATAAAATAAAAATGGATACTTATAATTAACTTAAACTAGTTGCTGTATCACTTTTATTATTTACTATCATCCAAACAACATCTTTGGAAAAACTTAATGAAATCGAGCAACTTCTTCTGGTGTTAGCCATCTACAACAGTTTTACCAAATTTCCTCCAACACACTAATCTACGGCCGGAAGATCTAAGCTATGATTCTGCCATGGCATCTTTCTTTATGTACGTCATTGGTTCCTTTCACACTTTTTTTTTTAATACCCTGTACTGTAGTGGAGATGATTAGTACTCGTATTTGTATATTTTGCTCTGAAACAGATACTGTATATCAACTGATCTTCTTTGTATGTTTTACAATACTGACATAAGTGACATGCATTATTTTTTACTGGCCAGGAGTGCTCCTATGTGTATTGCCCAATGTGTGACCTCGCCTGGCCAGGCTGGGAGACGGACAGCTGGAAAGTTCACCCACATCATCAGGGAGAACCCATCAGGTAAATTGTATGATCAGTTAATTTCTTTTCACCATTCCAGGAATAAATATTGTTAAAACTCAAAATAATGGCATAATACAGTATTCTGAACTGTAATACAGTATACTGTATATAGTTAGGGAAATTTAACTAGGTAATGTACTGGTACATTGTTATATTTGGTGTTGTCAGACACAAGGAAGTTATAACAGTGCCAGTATTGGAAATCTGTTTTGTACATTGCTACAGCTGAAACCAATTACTGTATAGGTTAGCCATCTCCTTTACAATCAACTTATTAGTCAACAATTTCCACACATAGTTGTAGTGTTGCAGAAGATGCATGACTACTTACACTGCTGTCATGTCCTGAGCTTCTCCAAGATGTTGTCACTGTTAATGTCACTTAATATTTTTTTTAGATTCCCTGGAACTAAAATTGTATTAGACTTCATATCTGAGGAAGAAGAAAGGGAACTTCTAACTCACATTGATGAAGTTCCGTGGGATCCTTCTCAGAGTGGTCGACGGAAACAGGTAGAAAGCTGTTTTGGTTTATAAGTAATAACAGATTTATGAACTTTGTAATGAAGTGGTACATAAGTTATCATAACACTTATCACATTATTTAATGAAAACAGTTATTAGAATTGAATAGGTTAATACTAAATAATTTTGTTTTCTTTACTTGTTTGCTCATAATCCTTGCTCATAATCCTTGCTCATAATTAACTTGTAGAATACTGTAATGGTGTATTATGCTCTTAACTGAACATCTGAATATCTTTTATTGAGGAACAATGTTATATGTAGCTAGAGTACTGTGTACTTTTTATCTTAGCTCCCACAGCCAGAATTATATGCTTATGTAATTGTTCTGCTTGTGTTTTTTAATTGGGGTTCTCTCTTTGTTGGTCTCCAAGTACTGTACTGTAATATCATGTGAACCACTTTGCTAATTTCTGTGCCCGTAAGCTTTAAATCACCATTATATACATTCTCTTAGTAATATAGACTGTCTTTATTACTGTATATAAACACGTTAGTAATAATTCTTCAAAAGTTTATTTCGATGTCAAGTTGTCAGTCCGTTCCATCTGTTGGGAGAGTCCCGGCAACTAGACTAGGTATTGTGTTGTTTATTTCGATCTGTGCCATGACAGTGAAGAACTGCCATCTCATGGTTGAATATAAAATCTGAGCCAGAAACTCCAAGGGTTTGGTACAGGTTGTACCTCTCTAGTCCGGCAACCTCGGGACCTGACCGGTGCCGGACCATGGAAATTCACCCTTTTCCTGGACAGGTAGTGACTTGCGCTTATGTTAGCACCACTTTCACTGCTTCGTGGTCTCTTTGAAGACATATTGAAGGGTTAAATGTCATACAGTAGCTTCTCAAATTTCGCGAGTTTTTAGTTCAACGTTTTTTATTTGGACACACAAAAAAAAACACTACATAATTTAAAATTTTGACGACGGAAACTCGAATTTCGACGGGTTTGAGTGGTCCACCAACGTTTAGGCGTGCACAATCGTGTAAACAGCGTCATTTCTCACATGTACAAAAGATTCATTATTGTTTATTGCTGAATGTATTTTTTATTGAATTAATGTTTGTGTGCAAAGTGAACAATACAATTCATTAATAATACGTAGAATATTAAAACACACAAGGAAATGAGACAGCATTGTTTTCGTTGATTACAAAACCAGTGACTGAGTGGTTCTACATATAAAACAAGAAAATAAGACCCTGGTTGTAGCTGTAGTAAAATTAATGTAAAAATTAATATGGTTGTTTTAAGTAATGTTATTTAATGTTAATAAATGGAACAATATAAGTAGCTAACCATTAATGTTAAAGAACAAAAGTGAGATCGTGTATGTAAGTGCGCACATGTGAAAACATATCGTCATTACTCTACATAAGAATATGAAAGCAACACTTATTTATTGAAGGGTTAAATGTTGTACTCTGTATAGACAAACAGAGAGAGAGAGCCGAACTACCAGATGTAAACAAACCTTAATTTCCCGCGGCTTTGTTGTTGTTGTTTTTTTACGGGGATTAGCCCACCCGGGCACAGGTCACTGACCCACATTGGAGCCTGAGGGGCGAAAATGTAATACTCCTGTAATAATAATAATAATTCAGATAAGTGAAAAAAAAAAAAGAAAAAAAAAGCTGCCTATCTACGTATTGGGCAAACCAAAATCGTTCCGGACCACAGAATGCCGGACTAGAGAGGTACAACCTGTCGTTTGTTCCAAAGGCTCAGGGGGCGAAGGAAATCTACGGCAACTGTACAGTATTTTCACATTTACTAAATGTACAGTACAGTACAATAAATGTAACTGTAATCACTTTTTTAAGTGTTAACATTGCTTTAAAACTTTATTCTTGGCTGCTTGTGTCCTAGTACAATAATGTACACTATTGCACATTAAAAATTGAACCGAAAAACAGCAGCGAGTGAAAGAAAAGAACAATCTTGTACAATGGCAGCAGAATATGATCTTAGATTGCGAGCCTGCAGCCTAAAGTTACCCAAGCAGTTTGCCCACCCATGTGCCTGATACATGGGGCCGAATCAGAGCATGATGCAATATTTCAGAGCTCCTGGAAAACTTGTTCCCAAGCCCAGAACATATATATATATATATATATATATATATATATATATATATATATATATATATATATATATATATATATATATATATATATATATATATATATATATATATATATATATATATATATATATATATATATATATATATATATATATACAAGTGGCCTCGTTACTTGAATAAAATCCAATTTCCAGAAGGTCGTTCGTTAACCGAAATGTTCGTTAACCGAAACCATTGTTTCAATGGGTTTTTGGGTAATTGGTTCCAGCTCACCGAAAATTTCCTAAATTCAACAAAAATGGTAGAAACGTTCACTTACTTTGAGGTGTGTATGTAGAAGGCTCCTGGATGATGATGATGATGATGGGATTTAGAATGAGGGTGGAGGAGAAGGAAGAAGAGAAGGCATTGGGGTGGAAGAGAAGTCACCCCATGGTGCCATTTCACCCATAAAATTTTAGCTCTCTGGTTTAATTCAAGATTATTTTCTTTAAATCAACGTTGCACTGCATTATATATTGTCAATATATAAAATATATTTCAAAATGACCAATAATTTGCTTGGAAACACAGAAAAAAAGCATTTAGTTGAAGAGAGTCTCAAGCAAGATGTTACCTCCAGTGAAAACAGAGAGAGACTGGCGCCTGTTTGCTGTGTTAAGAGGCTGGATGCCGCGCATTAAACTAGTCACTTTACCTTCAATTTTGTTCAATAATTGTTAAAATGACTAAAAAATTGAATATTAAACTTTTAAAATTATTGAATAGTATAAACTTCTTGATATTTACAAAAATAGTAAGGAATTTAAGCCCTAGAACTGATTAATGTATTGGCGGACTGATACTAAAGCTGGTTGCCCGGTCAGTGCAAGCGAAAACATGTTGAGGTCGGTTCGTAAGAAGTTCGTTAAGCGAATTTTTTTTCGTTAACCGAATTGAAGATCCTTATGGAAGGCAGTTCGTTAATCGAAATTACGTTAACCGAGGTGTTCGTTAGAGGGGTCACTGTATATATGTATATATATATATATATATATATATATATATATATATATATATATATATATATATATATATATATATATATATATATATATATATATACATACATACATACATACATACATACATACATACATACATACATACATACATACATACATACATACATACATACATACATACATACATACATACATACATACATACATACATACATACATACATACATACATACATACATACATATATACATACATACATACATACATACATACATACATACATACATACATACATACATACATACATACATACACATACATACACACATACATACATACATACATACATACATACATATATATATATATATATATATATATATATATATATATATATATACATACAGTATTACCCCGCTTTACACGGTTTCACTTTCCGTACCTTGCCAGAACTGGACTTTCACTTTCCGGCGGTGTCTACTCATATACGCGTGAAGTATAATTTTTTTTAGCCCATAAAATTCATACAAATTACTGCCAGAATATAATTTACATTGCTGGAATTCTTACAATATGATGATCATTTAGAATATAAACATCATGGATTTTGCATTAGACATACAAATTTTAGATCTAATGTAATAATTTGGTTTACACAAAGCAAGTATTTTATCTTTTGTGCAAAATATATGAAGTTTACATTCAAAATATTCCCTGACCTGCAAGGAATCCAGAAATGTTAATTATATTATCCTAACTTTAGTCTGAGGTATTATTTATTACTAAACATTAAAATCTAGTGTTTCACCCAATCATTTCTCAGAGAGGTAGGAGCCAGTGAGCTGGGAAGAGGGGGGGGGGGGATTTGAGTCCATTATTTGAATGGACATTAACCTGGCGACTGTATTTCTCTTAAATATTAATTGTGTGAGCATACCATCATAAAATTTAGATGTTATTTTTACTAGAACATAGGTATTGTGTCGGAAAAAGTGGAGTTTGGGGGTCGGGCCAGTCTCTATTGGAATTAATCCCATATGTTCTGTTGTTCACTTTACGCAGTTTTCACTTTCCGCGGTACCCTGTGGGTTCAATTGACCGCGTAAATCGGGGTACTACTGTTTATATATATATATACACACACACAATGTTTTTTCTTTTTTCAGAATTATGGGCCAAAATGTAATTTCAAGAAGCGACGTGTGAGGACAGAGACCTTCTCTGGTTATCCATCATTCACCAAATTTATCCAAGACCGCTTTAATAAAGTTAATGTTCTTAAAGGTTTCCAGACTGTCGAACAATGTTCTCTTGATTACTCATTAGAAAAAGGTGCTTCTATTGACCCTCATATTGATGACTGTTGGATATGGGGTGAAAGAATTCCTACTTTGAGTTTATTAATTGGCTCCACTCTTACAATGAGGAAATTTGAGGGACCAAGAACTAAGTATAATCTGATTGATACAGAAGGTTATCCTGCTGTTATGAGAGAGGATGGTATTGTCAAGGAAGAAAAAGAAATTGAAATGGAATTCAGAGAATCTTATCAAAAAAGAAATGAAAGTAAGAAACCAAAGGAAAATCTGCTAAAAGATATTGAAGGTGAGAAGAATGCTACTCCATCTTATTCAAGGGATGGTAAGCCATATGTACTGCGATTACCCATGCCACAGCGCTCGCTCTTGGTTCTTTATGGCCCTGCCAGGTATAACTGGGAGCATGGAATATTACGAGAAGACATTCCATCGCGAAGAGTTTGCATCACTTACCGAGAACTCACCCCAACCTATCTTGAATATGGATCAAAAGCAGAAGTGGGTGCAGAAATATTAAAAGCCAGCAAAAGCTTCTGGGATCATAGGCAGCATTATGGGTTAGATATTTGATACAAATCTTTTAATGCTACATGTGATATTTAAATTGGTGGTGTTTTCCTGTAAATAGAAATTTTGCTTGTTTTTTTATATTGATTAAATAATAATGTTTTTTATTATATAATAATGTTTAAATTGTTTGCTGTTTCCTGATATAGAATTTATGCCGATTCTTATCGACAGGACATTTATTTTTCTCTCCCTCAATTTCATAATGCACTTAGTATCTTCTTTCCTTCAGCTCTTCTAGTATTCAGTTCATCTTCCATTTGTACACATACCTGTGGGCATCCGCAGGATGTCTTCCAAGGGGTGCAAGACAGTAAAACTACATCTGACAGGTCAGTTTATTTAAAACAGGTATACTGTATACATAAACAATATGAAAGTGAGATCGTTTTTTTTTAGTTCTGTATGATTAGCAATATCACTAATCACTGTCATCACCAAGTTATTAATCATTAACAAAAATAAATAATTTTATATTGATCCTAAAAGTCTAGGGATGACCAATGCTAGCTGTCTGTCGTGATGAAGACTTGCTCAGAACATAAGCAGTGTACTTTCAATGGTTAAATAAATACTGCAGGCGGCACTTAGCTCTAAAACGATCAATCTCATCTTCAGTGAAGGCATTATTTCTATCTAACACCTTCTATTGATGCATGCTCTTGCATGCACAATCGAGACAAGTGTTCAGTTGACATTGTCTCAGTGTGCTAAATGACCGCTCTACTCAACAAGTGGAGGCTGGAAGTGTCAAGATCAGTAGGGCTTCTCAAATATCAGGAAACATCACACTGCTTCAGAAGATCTGTCAGTGATGCACCGGAATCACATGCAGTGTTCTTCTGGGAATGTTGACGCTGTATTCACATTTCAAACCAGGACTGCAACTCCTCAGTAAAACATTGATGTTGTAGATTTCATTTAACTGTAAATTACTTAAGAACTTGTTAAGGTGGTCCTTATTATCCGTGGTTAATTGAGACCGGAAAAACGCCTCTGATAACGAATCACTTTTAAGCGGATAATTAATCCTGTAAGAAATAATGGAAATGGATCAAATTAGGACCACAACTTAGTACACAACCCTCAACAAAATTTATATGATATCTTTTAACAATTATTTACCTTAGAAATATTTGTTAAACATTTGATAGCACTATTTTAAGAAATTATTTAACTTTATAACTTATCTAACGTCCTTAAAGTTCATTGGCATTGGTGTGTTAAGACAACGTAGGTGGTGTCAGCGACTCGGTGGTGCACACTTACTTCAGTGGTTCATTGAGACAAAATACTTATTGTAATGTTCTAAAAATAAATGATTTTAACATAAAAAATATTTTTATTTTCTTAGCTTCAAAGGTTGAGATGTTTGGCTTGATTAGATTGATGGAGGTGGGAGTTGGGGGGATGTAGAATTAGTTGGATGATGAAGCAGAAACAGCACTGGATGGATTGGCCACTCCCACTCTTCTTTCATCTAATCACTTCTAATTCTACAATTTTACAATAGCTAGTGTGCTTCCCTTTGAAGGCTGCACCACCCTGTGTGGGTTGGGAACTCATGGCTACAAAAATGATCAAATGATTCACCACAACATGCACGAAGAGAAACAACAAAGGCAGAAGTAAACACAACACCGCATTGCTCTGGACAAAACAAAGCGGGAGACTGGCGCAGGGACACCTGTGTGCATGCATGACGCCAGGAAGGTGAAATGTCAAAGGCTGAAGCTAAAAGTCCGTAGATTTCATCGGGAGTTTTAAATCCATAAATTTTATCCTGAGTTTTTAAGTGTAATCCATTTAAATGCCGGGACTTTTTAAGTGGATAGTCACAAAAAGTTGACCACTTAACTGTATTACAACAATTTACAAGGTACCATACACAGTTGCACTATTCTTTTAGTATAATTTATTTGATCTAAAATCAAGATTACAGTTGTTAATATCTATTACATGATTTCTGAAAATTAACTGGAGTTCAGTTACTCAGGTTAGAAAATTTTCATCTTAGATTGTATACTATATAAATATATATACTATATACACCCCTCGTCCACGCTCTCCACTCTCGCATCCCTCCACCATACCCACATCCCTCCTCCATACCCACACCCTCATCCATACCCACACACCCCTCTCCATACCCACACCCCTCCTCCATACCCACACCCCTCCTCTTCATACCCACACCCCCCTCCATACCCACACCCCTCCTCTATACCCACACACCCTCCATACCCACACCCCACATCCCTCCTCCATACTAACACTTCCTACATACCCACCCTCATACCCCACACCCCTCCCTTCATACCCACACCCTCCATACCCACACCCTCCATACCCCATACCCTCCCTTACCCCACTCCCACATCCCTCCTCCATACCAACACCCCCTCCATACCCACAACCATCCTCCATACCCACACCTTTCCTCCATACCCACACCCCTTCTCCATACCCACACGCCTTCTCCATACCCACACTCTTCCTCCATACCCACACCCCTCCTCCATACCCCACATCCCTTCTCCATACACACACCTCTCCTCCATACCCACACTCCACACCCTCCTCCATACCCACATCCCTCCTCCATACCCACACCCTTTCCTCCATACCCACACCCCTCCTCCATACCCACACTCTTCCCTCCATACCCCACCCCCTCCCCCTCCCTCCACATCCCTCCTCCCATACCCACCCCTCCCTCCATACCCACACCCCTCCTCCATACCCCACTCCACACCCACCCTCCATACCCACACCCACACCCCTCCTCCATACCCACACTCCCACACTCCTCCATATCACCTCACACCCCTCCTCCATACCCACACTCCCCACCCCTCCCTTCCCCACACTCCACACCTCCTCCCTTTTACTTTCCTTCTTCCCTTCCTCCCCACCCCTCCTCCATACCCACACTCCACATCCCTCCTCCATACCCACACTCTTCCTCCATACCCCACCCTTCTAAATACCCACATCCCTCCTCCATACCCACACCCCACCTCGATATCCACATCCCTCCTCCACCCACACCCCTCCTCCATACCCACCCCTCCTCCATACACCCCTCCATACCCTTCACCCTCCTCTCCTCCATACCCACACCCCTTCTCCATACCCCACACCTCCTCCAGACCCACACTCCTCAGCCCTCCTCCATACCCACACCCCTCCTCTTCTCCAGACCCACACTCCTCAGCCCTCCTCCATACCCACACCCCTCCTCTTCTCCAGACCCACACTCCTCAGCCCTCCTCCATACCCACATCCCTCCTCCCTATAGCATACCTGGTTGTGCCTAGCTATATATTATATACGTCCATCAGTTCCTTACTTGAATGTGATTGGTGGACTAAAATATCTACTCACCAAATTACAGCCAATAGGAGAAAAGAGCAGCCAGTCAGCACAACACCCCAACTTATGTTTTCCTGTTGGATATTATTCTGCATTCCGTTTTTAAGTATGCGATAATACTGGAAATGTGATGATGGGCGATGTAGTTGCATCTCCCAGCGCTCTAAATAACACAAAAACAACTGCCCCCAGAGACCATACAGGGTTGGCACTCTCAGGGAACCTCCCAGGTGCGGCAGGGAACCTCCTAGAAGTGGCCGGGGCCCTTGGGACGCACCCAGGGGCAGCAGAGGCCCCAGGGACCCACCAAGAGGCAGCTGGTGACCTGGGTCTCAACCAGGTACGGTGGTGCCCCCTGCGACCCTCCCAGGTGCGTCGGGGCCCCTTCCACGGGCGGCTGGGACTCATTGGACCCTCCCAGGGACGGCGGCGCCCCCTGGAATCCTCTCATGGATAGAGGAAGCCCCAGGAACCCTCCCAGAAGCGGCGAGGATACTAAGGGCGTTCCCAAGGGCAGTGGAGGCCTGCGATGCCTTCCCAAGTGTGACAACACCCCTAGGAACCCTTCCAGGGTAGGCGGGACCCGCTGAGACCCATACAGGGAGGGCAGTGAGCCCTGAGACCCTCCAGGGGCAGTGGGGCCCCTTGGGACACTAAAGGGGCTGCACGTCCAGGGGCCCTATAGCACTCCTGGTCGTGCCTAGGTATATATTTTATACGTCCATCAGTTCCTTAAATGTGATTGGTGGACTAAAATATCTACCCACCAAATTACAGCCAATAGGAGAAGAGAGCAGTCAGTCAGCACAACACCCCAACTTATGTTTTCCTGTTGGATATTATTCTCCATTCCGTTTTTAAGTATGCGATAATACTGGAAATGTGATGATGGGCGATGTAGTTGCATCTCCCAGCGTTATAAATAACACAAAAACAAGTTCCCCCAGAGACCATACAGGGCTGGCGCTCTCGGGGAACCTCCAAGGTGCGGCAGGGAACATCCAAGTAGTGGCTGGGGCCATTGGGACCCACCCAAGGGCAGCAGAGGCCCCATGGACCCATCTCAGAGGCAGCTGGTGACCTGGTTCTCACCCAGGTAAGGTGGTGCCCCTTACGACCCTCCCAGGTGCATCGGGGACCCTTCCAAGGGCGGCTTGGACTCATTGGACCCTCCCAGGGACGGCAGCGCCCCCTGAAATAATCACATGGATTGCGGGGACCCCAGGAACCCTCATAGGGGCGGCAGGGCCCCTTCAACCCTCCCAGAAGCGGCGAGGGTACTAAGGATACTCCCAGTGGCGGTGGAGGCCCGCAGTTCCTTTCCAGGTGTGACAGCGCCCCTAGGGACCCTCCCAGGGTCGGCGGGACCCGCTAAGACACGCCTAGGGATGGGAGGGGGCCCTGGGACCACCTAGGGGTGATGAGGGCCCTTGGGACATATCAGGGGCCGCACTTCAAGGGGCCCTATAGCATACCTGGTCGTGCCTTGGTACATATTTTATATGTCCATCAGTTCCTTAAATGTGATTGGTGGACTAAAATATCTACCCACCAAATTTCAGCCAATAGGAGAAGAGAGCAGTCAGTCAGCACAACACCCCAACTTATGTTTTCCTGTTGGATATTATTCTCCATTCCGTTTTTAAGTATGCGATAATACTGGAAATGTGATGATGGGCGATGTAGTTGCATCTCCCAACGCTCTAAATAACAGAAAAACAACTGCCCCCAGAGACCATACAGGGCTGACGCTCTTAGGGAACCACCCACGTGCGACAGGGAACCTCCTAGAAGTGGCCGGAGCCACTTGGGACCCGCCTAGGGGCAGTAGAGGCCCGAGGGACCCACCCAGAGGCAGCCAGGGACCTTGGTCTTATCCAGATAAGGTGGTGCCCCCTGGGACCCTCCAAGTGCGTCGGTGACCCTTCCAAAGGTGGCTGGGACTCATTGGACCCTCCCATGGACGGCGGCCCCCACTGGAATCATCGCATGGATTGCGGGGGCCCCAGGAAACCTCATAGGGGCGGCAGGGCCCCTGCAACATCTCCGAGAAGCGACGATTGTACTAAGGACCCTCCCAGGGGCGGTGGAGGCCCGCAGTACCTTTCCAGGTGTGACAGCGCCCCTAGGGACCCTCCTAGGGTAGGCGGGACCCACTGAGACACTCCCAGGGACGAGAGGGGGCCCTGGGACCCTCCAGGAGCAGTGGGGCTCCTTGGGACACTACAGGGGCTGCACGTCCAGGGGCCCTATAGCATACCTTGTTGTGCCTAGGTATATATTTTATACGTCCATCAGTTCCTTAAATGTGATTGGTGGACTAAAATATCTACCCACCAAATTACAGCCAATAGGAGAAGAGAGCAGTCAGTCAGCACAACTTTTAACTTATGTTTTCCTGTTGTTGGATATTGTTCTCCATTCCGTTTTAAGTATGCGATGTACTGGAAGTGCATTGATGGGTGATATTTGCATCTCCCAACGCTCTAAGCGAAAACAGCACTTTAGAGACCATACAGGGCTGGCGGCTCTTAGGAACCACCCGTGCGACGAGCAGCCTCCTGGAGTGGCCCGACCGCGGGACTGCCTGAGAGCGGCGAGGGCGCAGGACCCACACCCAGAGGCAGCCAGGGACCTTGGTCTTATCCAGATAAGGTGGTGCCCCCTGGGACCCTCCAGGTGCGTCGGTGACCCTTCCAAAGGTGGCTGGGACTCATTGGACCCTCCCATGGACGGCGGCCCCCACTGGAATCTTCGCATGGATTGCGGGGGCCCCAGGAAACCTCATAGGGGCGGCAGGGCCCTTGCAACACTTCCGAGAAGCGACGATTGTACTAAGGACCCTCCCAGGGGCGATGGAGTCCTGCAGTACCTTTCCAGGTGTGACAGCGCCCCTAGGGACCCTCCTTGGGTAGGCGGGACCCACTGAGACACTCCCAGGGACAAGAGGGGGCGCTGGAACCCTCCAGGAGCAGTGGGGCCCCTTGGGACACTACTGGGGCTGCACGTCCAGGGGCCCTATAGCATACCTGGTTGTGCCTAGGTATATATTTTATACGTTCATCAGTTCCTTAAATGTGATTGGTGGACTAAAATATCTACCCACCAAATTACAGCCAATAGGAGAAGAGAGCAGTCAGTCAGCACAACACCCCAACTTATGTTTTCCTGTTGGATATTATTCTCCATTCCGTTGTTAAGTATGCGATAATACTGGAAATGTGATGATGGGCGATGTAGTTGCATCTCCCAACGCTCTAAATAACAGAAAAACAACTGCCCCCAGAGACCATACAGGGCTGACGCTCTTAGGGAACCACCCACGTGCGACAGGGAACCTCCTAGAAGTGGCCGGAGCCACTTGGGACCCGCCTAGGGGCAGTAGAGGCCCGAGGGACCCACCCAGAGGCAGCCAGGGACCTTGGTCTTATCCAGATAAGGTGGTGCCCCCTGGGACCCTCCAAGTGCGTCGGTGACCCTTCCAAAGGTGGCTGGGACTCATTGGACCCTCCCATGGACGGCGGCCCCCACTGGAATCATCGCATGGATTGCGGGGGCCCCAGGAAACCTCATAGGGGCGGCAGGGCCCCTGCAACATCTCCGAGAAGCGACGATTGTAGTAAGGACCCTCCCAGGGGCGGTGGAGGCCCGCAGTACCTTTCCAGGTGTGACAGCGCCCCTAGGGACCCTCCTAGGGTAGGCGGGACCCACTGAGACACTCCCAGGGACGAGAGGGGGCCCTGAGACCCTCCAGGAGCAGTGGGGCTCCTTGGGACACTACAGGGGCTGCACGTCCAGGGGCCCTATAGCATACCTTGTTGTGCCTTGGTATATATTTTATACGTCCATCAGTTCCTTAAATGTGATTGGTGGACTAAAATATCTACCCACCATATTACAGCCAATAGGAGAAGAGAGCAGTCAGTCAGCACAACACCCCAACTTATGTTTTCCTGTTGGATATTATTCTCCATTCCGTTTTTAAGTATGCGATAATACTGGAAATGTGATGATGGGCGATGTAGTTGCATCTCCCAGCGTTATAAATAACACAAAAACAAGTTCCCCCAGAGACCATACAGGGCTGGCGCTCTCGGGGAACCTCCAAGGTGTGGCAGGGAACATCCAAGTAGTGGCTGGGGCCATTGGGACCCACCCAAGGGCAGCAGAGGCCCCATGGACCCATCCCAGAGGCAGCTGGTGACCTGGTTCTCACCCAGGTAAGGTGGTGCCCCCTGCGACCCTCCCAGGTGCATCGGGGACCCTTCCAGGGGCGGCTTGGACTCATTGGACCCTCCTAGGGACGGCAGCGCCCCCTGAAATCATCACATGGATTGCGGGGACCCTAGGAACCCTCATAGGGGCGGCAGGGCCCCTGCTACCCTCCCAGAAGCGGCGAGGGTACTAAGGATCCTGCCAGTGGCGGTGGAGGCCCGCAGTTCCTTTCCAGGTGTGACAGCGCCCCTAGGGACCCTCCCAGGGTCGGCGGGACCCGCTAAGACACGCCTAGGGACGGGAGGGGGCCCTGGGACCACCTAGGGGTGATGAGGGCCATTGGGACATATCAGGGGCCGCACTTCAAGGGGCCCTATAGCATACCTGGTCGTGCCTTGGTACATATTTTATACGTCCATCAGTTCCTTAAATGTGATTGGTGGACTAAAATATCTACCCACCAAATTTCAGCCAATAGGAGAAGAGAGCAGTCAGTCAGCACAACACCCCAACTTATGTTTTCCTGTTGGATATTATTCTCCATTCCGTTTTTAAGTATGCGATAATACTGGAAATGTGATGATGGGCGATGTATTTGCATCTCCCAGCATTATAAATAACACAAAAACAAGTTCCCCCAGAGACCATACAGGGCTGGCGCTCTCAGGGAACCTCCAAGGTGCGGCAGGGAACATCCAAGTAGTGGTTGGGGCCATTGGGACCCACCCAGAGGCAGCAGAGGCCCCATGGACCCAATCCCAGAGGCAGCTGGTGACCTGGTTCTCACCCAGGTAAGGTGGTGCCCCCTGCGACCCTCCCAGGTGCATCGGGGACCCTTCCAAGGGCGGCTTGGACTCATTGGACCCTCCCAGGGACGGCAGCGCCCCCAGAAATCATCACATGGATTGCGGGGGCCCCAGGAACCCTCATAGGGGCGGCAGAGCCCCTGCAACCCTCCCAGAAGCGGCGAGGGTACTAAGGATACTCCCAGGGGCGGTGGAGGCCCACAGTACCTTTCCAGGTGTGACCGCGCCCCTAGGGACCCTCCCAGGGTAGGCGGGACCCGCTAAGACACTCCCAGGGACGGGAGGGGGCCCTGGGACAACCTAGGGGTGGTGGGGGCCCTTGGGACATTCCAGGGGCCCTATAGCATACCTGGTTGTGCCTTGGTACATATTTTATACGTCCATCAGTTCCTTAAATGTGATTGGTGGACTAAAATATCTACCCACCAAATTACAGCCAATAGGAAAAGAGAGCAGTCAGTCAGCACAACACCCCAACTTATGTTTTCCTGTTGGATATTATTCTCCATTCCGTTTTTAAGTATGCGATAATACTGGAAATGTGATGATGGGCGATGTAGTTGCATCTCCCAGCGCTCTAAATAACAGAAAAACAACTGCCCCCAGAGACCATATAGGGCTGACGCTCTTAGGGAACCACCCACGTGCGACCGGGAACGTCCTAGGAGTGGCCAGGGCCACTTGGGACCCACCCAGGGGCAGCAGAGGCCCCATGGACCCACCCAGAGGCAGCCAGGGACGTTGGTCCTATCCAGATAAGGTGATGCCCCCTGGGACCCTCCAGGTGCGTCGGTGACCCTTCCAAAGGCGGCTGGGACTCATTGGACCCTCCCATGGACGGCGGCCCCCCCTGGAATCATTGCATGGATTGCGGGGGCCCCAGGAACCCTCATAGGGGCGGCAGGGCCTCTGCAACCCTCCCAGAAGCGACGATTGTACTAAGGACCCTCCCAGGGGCGGTGTAGGCCCGCAGTACCTTTCCAGGTGTGACAGTGCCCCTGGGGACCCTCCTTGGGTAGGCGGGACCCACTGAGACACTCCTAGGGACGAGAGGGGGCCCTAGGACCCTCCAGGAGCAGTGGGGCCCCTTGGCACACTACAGGGGCTGCACGTCCAGGGGCTCTATAGCATACCTGGTTGTGCCTAGGTATATATTTTATACGTCCATCAGTTCCTTAAATGTGATTGGTGGACTAAAATATCTACCCACCAAATTACAGCCAATAGGAGAAGAGAGCAGTCAGTCAGCACAACACCCCAACTTATGTTTTCCTGTTGGATATATCAGCCCTGTTTTAAGCATGTTATAATACTGAATGGACATACACATCTCCCAGTTAAGAAACACAAAACGTCTCAGAGACTATACAGGCTGAGCCTGGGAACCTCCACAGTGGCAGGGAACATCCAAGGAGGGCTGGGGGCCATTGGACCCCACCCAAGGGCAGCAGAGGCCCCATGGACCCATCCCAGAGGCAGCTGGTGACCTGGTTCTCACCAGGCAAGGTGGTGCCTCTGCGACCCTCCCCAGGTGCATCGGGACCCTTCCACAAGGCCAATTCATTGGACCCTCCAGGATGCAGCGCCCCGAATCATCACATGGGATTGCATTGGTGAAACCCCTGAGAAGTGTGGCAGGCTCCCTGCTACCTCCCCAGAAGTGCGAGGGTACCATGACCCCTCCCGGTAATGTGGAGGCCCACAGTACCTTTCCAGGTGTGACCGCGCCCCTAGGGACCCTCCCAGGGTCGGCGGGACCCGCTAAGACACTCCCAGGAACGGGAGGGGGCCCTGGGACCACCTAGGGGTGGTGGGGGCCCTTGGGACATTCCAGGGGCCCTATAGCATACCTGGTTGTGCCTTGGTACATATTTTATACGTCCATCAGTTCCTTAAATGTGATTGGTGGACTAAAATATCTACCCACTAAATTACAGCCAATAGGAGAAGAGAGCAGTCAGTCAGCACAACACCCCAACTTATGTTTTCCTGTTGGATATTATTCTCCATTCCGTTTTTAAGTATGCGATAATACTGGAAATGTGATGATGGGCGATGTAGTTGCATCTCCCAACGCTCTAAATAACAGAAAAACAACTGCCCCCAGAGACCATACAGGGCTGACGCTCTTAGGGAACCACCCACGTGCGACAGGGAACCTCCTAGGAGTGGCCGGAGCCACTTGGGACCCGCCTAGGGGCAGCAGAGGCCCCATGGACCCACCCAGAGGCAGCCAGGGACCTTGGTCTTATCCAAAATAAGGTGGTGCCCCCTGGGACCCTCCAGGTGCGTCGGTGACCCTTCCAAAGGTGGCTGGGACTCATTGGACCCTCCCATGGACGGCGGCCCCCACTGGAATCATCGCATGGATTGCAGGGGCCCCAGGAAACCTCATAGGGGCGGCAGGGCCCTTGCAACACCTCCGAGAAGCGACGATTGTACTAAGGACCCTCCCAGGGGCGGTGGAGGCCCGCAGTACCTTTCCAGGTGTGACAGCGCCCCTAGGGACCCTCCTTGGGTAGGCGGGACCCACTGAGACACTCCTAGGGACGAGAGGGGGCCCTAGGACCCTCCAGGAGCAGTGGGGCCCCTTGGCACACTACAGGGGCTGCACGTCCAGGGGCTCTATAGCATACCTGGTTGTGCCTAGGTATATATTTTATACGTCCATCAGTTCCTTAAATGTGATTGGTGGACTAAAATATCTACCCACCAAATTACAGCCAATAGGAGAAGAGAGCAGTCAGTCAGCACAACACCCCAACTTATGTTTTCCTGTTGGATATTATTCTCCATTCCGTTGTTAAGTATGCGATAATACTGGAAATGTGATGATGGGCGATGTAGTTGCATCTCCCAACGCTCTAAATAACAGAAAAACAACTGCCCCCAGAGACCATACAGGGCTGGCGCTCTCAGGGAACCTCCAAGGTGCGGCAGGGAATATCCAAATAGTGGCTGGGGCCATTGGGACCCACCCAGGGGCAGCAGAGGCCCCATGGACCCATCCCAGAGGCAGCTGGTGACCTGGTTCTCACCCAGGTAAGGTGGTGCCCCCTGCGACCCTCCCATGTGCATCGGGGACCCTTCCAAGGGCGGCTTGGACTCATTGGACCCTCCCAGGGACGGCAGCGCCCCCTGAAATCATCACATGGATTGCGGGGGCCCGAGGAACCTTCATAGGGGCGGCAGGGCCCCTGCAACCCTCCCAGAAGCGGCGAGGGTACTAAGGATACTCCCAGGGGCGGTGGAGGCCCACAGTACCTTTCCAGGTGCGACCGCGCCCCTAGGGAGCCTCCCAGGGTCGGCGGGACCCGCTAAGACACGGCTAGGGACGGGAGGGGGCCCTGGGACCACCTAGGGGTGGTGAGGGCCCTTGGGACATTCCAGTGGCCGCACTTCAAGGGGCCCTATAGCATACCTGGTCGTGCCTTGGTACATATTTTATATGTCAATCAGGTCCTTAAATGTGATTGGTGGACTAAAATATCTACCCACCAAATTACAGCCAATAGGAGAAGAGAGCAGTCAGTCAGCACAACACCCCAACTTATGTTTTCCTGTTGGATATTATTCTCCATTCCGTTTTTAAGTATGCGATAATACTGGAAATGTGATGATGGGCGATG